GGAATTGGTTGTTTATGGATGGCTAGTATAACCTTTCCTATACTCTTCTAAATTTTATCAATTTAAAAAATGTGTATTGTTTTTATAACAGAAAACATTACTGAAATAAACCCAGCAGTCTTACTTATTCTCATTCTTCAATTTTTTGAAAAATTTGAGTTTTAGCTTTGTTTTCTATTTCACTTGTCCTCTTTCTTTCTTTTTCTTTCTTTTTTTTTTGTTTTGTTTGTTTTTTAATCTCCTTTAAACTTTGTCAACACCTATCTCTCATTCTACATCCTAAAGGTGGTGCTGCCAAGAGTGTTCTCTCTGGTCACCTCATCTTGATAATGTCACCAATGTCCTATCTCTCTAATTTCTCTTCTCAGCTTTGGATCTCCATGTCTGCCACTTACATATCCAGCTATCATGGCCTAAACCTGACTTATCATTTTTTATTCACACTCTCACGGATTCACTTGGCATTTGTTGACCATCTACTATGTACTAGGCAGTCTGCTAGAGACTAGGGATACAATAAAAATAAAAGAGGGCCTCTCTCCTTAAGTAGCTTTTAGCTACCTTTCTCCCCTCATTTTTCCAGTTATCAAATGCAAACATTAGAGTCACCATTGAGTCCTTCTGCTTTTTTTTCCTCCTACCAATTGAGCACTTGCTATGAATTTGAACTCAGAAACATCTTTCATTATCCTGACCTCTTTTTTCATGCCCACTCTCAACATCCTCTTTGAGTCTTTATTTTTATTCCTGGATTATCCTATGATAGCTTCCAAAGTGATGCTTTCTTCAACATGCTCTCACACATAACTCTATTTTATTTTGCACAGCTATAAAATAAGTTATCTGAAAATGCAGTTTGGGTCATAGTGGTCTCTTACTTAATATACACTCAATAGCTTCCCATTGAACAAAAAAACCTCAACTTGACATTGACAGTCCCCTTCCAAAGTATTAGGTTGAACGGAATGAAGCTTTTATTTTGTAGTTCAGAAAGCATAAAATAGTAGCCATTTCATATGGTGCAACCTAACAGTTTTCAGTACCTTTCTATCCTTATCTTCTAAGAATCCCTTTCTTCCGTCCTACACTCTGAAATACAAATGAGATCAGTCTACACTTTCCAAGCATGTTCACTTCCTTTGGCTCCTCTGTTAATGTTGTTTATTCTTCTTGGAGTTCCTCCATACATTCTCTCTCTTGAATACTTCTATTCACCCCTAAGTTCCATCTCAAAAGCCCATCCTCCATGATATACTTCCTGTGCATCCCTTCTCAATTGTTAGTAAGCCCGCCGTGCAATGAAGTCCGTTAAGAAATTATTTGTATGTCTCTTCCAGTACCAATGAGCCTTGGTAGTACATCATTGTTTTATTCTGCTGCACTCATTGAGCTCTAAAAGTTTTCTGTTGTACATACTCCTTTGCAAGTAGAACATCTTAATGCATATTTGTGAAATTGTGAGTGTTCTCAATTATTTTTCTGGGCAAGTTGTATTTAAGGTTGAATGTTGTATTTTCTCCCTGTTCATGATACTGTTTGTTCCCTGCTTGCTTATTTATTTTGGTCATTTGAAACGTCTTCTGCCATTATTTAACTTAAAAACTAACAAACAAACCTGTTCAAGATATGGCATCCGTTATGCTATTTAGCACTTGAGTTCTCTGGCTAATTTTCTTATATAGATTATACAATTCAGTAATGCAACTTCATTGTAATGACATAGGAGATGCTTCATGAATTCATTTATTTTAAAACATCCTGATTTATCTCTGACATTCCTCCTTAAAGAATAAAGTTCCTCAGGTCAAATATAAAATATATATTAAAAATAACATATACAAGAGCTTCAATATTATAGTGAAGTATTTGAAGGTACATTATGTATATAAAAACAAGACTCTATAAGCATACCATTTTAACCTTATTGCAGTAACGTATATATCATGTGCATAAATAAAACATTAAAAAAAGACTATGAGTGAAAAAATTTACTAGAAAAAAATGTAGTATGTTGTGGTTAATATGAAGGACTTTGGGCCAGACGTGTGCTGATTGCCTAACTGGGGTCTTAGTTCATCCATCTGGAAGAGGTAGACTGTGCCCACTTCCCAGGATTACAGAGACAGTGAAAATGAGGGAACATGTGTTAAGGGCTTAGAATATTATCCAGCACATAATTGACAGAAAATTACAGTTTTATTAATAAAAATAAATGACAACAAGACAGAACAGATTTCTCTTAAGCTATTATGATTCTAGAAGTTTCTTTACAGATTCCTTAAATATGTATGTATAAAATGATGTCATACTTACTAGTCCATATTGAGAAAGAAAGCATTTAAGAGGACTATGACATCATCTCGAGTGTTACAATTAGAAAAAGAGAGAGAAAAGGCCTCCTCCCCTTTTGCTGCAGCAAAATCTTGGCTGATGACATAAAGAGCAATAAACAATGTCAAGTCTGGGAGTAGTATTTAGGAAGTGTCCAGAAAGCAAAACTCATGCTGCAGTTTGGCATCTTTCCCCGAGCTGATGAAAGTGAAAGGGGACATTTCAAAAATTCTTTCCATCTTAACCTAAAACCAGAAAAATCCTTTTCCATAGATCCTGGGGAAATGTCTACATATGGTTTGCCTACTTTTCTACCTGGTATTATGTAACTAATTATCATAAGTTGGAGACATAATGAATATTTTTGGTAACTAAAAAAAAAAAGTACCAAATGTCTGTTTTACAGGCATAACCTCATAAAAAAGAACAAAAAAGTAATGGTGGTGGGGGCGGCGGGGATAGAGATGAATTCATTTATCCATCAAAAAGTAAATAAATATCGTGGGTGCCAAAAAAATGTATACACAGGACTTGTATTCATCTTTTGTTATCAGTATATATTGAGTATTACAATTTTAATACAGGTTTTTTCCTTTCTTAAAATGTGTAAACATTTTTTGGCAGCCTCTGTATTTATTGAACTCCTACTGTGGTCTAGACACTATGCTATGTGCTGAAGATACGAGTGAAAAATCAGTGAAGGAATTAATTCATGCCAAGATGTTGTTGATTAGAAAAACCGTAATACAGATCCCTGACTCTCTTAGAGTTCAGTAGTCTAATTTTATTCTGATTTAACGACGTAACAGGCTATTGGAATAAACTCTGATTTTTTACACAAAACCTGTCAACACACCCCTAGATGAATTGTAAAATGGTGCTAGAAAACTTAGGAACCAAGACGCTCTGAGTAAGTTAACATGCTACTTCTTCAGTACCCAGGTAAACCGCAACAGAGCTGATTGACAATATATTAAAGACTTTTTTTGTTAGTGGTTCAATAATAACTTCATCTGTTTCCAATTCATGTAAATACCCCAAAGCTCAAAATTAATATAATGAATTGTTAAATGAGTCTGAAGATTAGGAAACAGATTCTCATATGCAATATTTACTGTATGGATTTAGTTAGAGGGGAAAATGCCAAGTATATATATTTTTTTCACCAAGCATAAAACATTTTCACTTACTCTGAGTGAAACCTAAAAAGAGAGTATGGTCCCAAGGGTTTTACAATATTCAGAAGGAATAGTAAGTCCTGTTTGGGGATTTCATACATGATTCCACTGAGGGAAAAATGCAATATATTTTATGTATCTCTGAATACATGAAATGAATCTAATAGACTAGTGTATTAGATTTTGTTCACTATCTAAAATAATGCAATTTCCTTTTTATAGCACACTGATTTAACAAATTAATTCTCTTGTGCAAAAATATTATTCGATGCTGCCTACACTCTGGATGCATCTGCCCCTTCCCCCTCTCCCACAATAACCACCCACAGAAGCAAGGCTCTTGTTAAGTGTTTGGAGAATGAATACATTAAGGTCCTCATAATTACACATTGCAGAGAAAATTAAACAAGGACAATGCATTAGTCTCCTTCAACTGCTACAAATATACACATGCACAGGTGTACACTCACATACTTTTGGTATTTCAGCATCACAAGTCAAACAGCCATTTTTTAAGTATATTAAAAATAAAATCTAACCTTGCTGCAAAAGATATTTTGGACCAATAGTCGCGAGGGGAAATTCTATGTGAATGTCCAGGAAAGGCTTAAACAGCGTTATTGATCTTCTCGACAAGGCAAAACATATCTTCCATTTTTAAAATCCAAGTTACAAATATAGGTTTTGTTGTAAGAAATTGACAAGAGTATATGTTAAAGTCAAAGATAATCTTAAAGAACTAAAGAAAAGATAATACTTATCATTGTCATCTCCAATCAATACACACCCCAATGCTGAATTTGAAAATGAATAATTTTCGTGCAAGGCACAGGGCCGGGGATCAATGGGTTTAACTGCTTTCACGGCAAGATGAAGGATTACCTTCTTAGGCTGTCAATGCCAAATAAAGCATATGTAAAATCATTTCTTTTCATAACGAACACTCTCAGCCTTTAAAAATATCTGTTGCTAAAGCCTAAAGCATCTTTGAAGTTACAACCTTTTATTCTCAAAACCCAACAATACTGAGTCATTCCTGGGCTTTCTTCTCTCGCACTCCTTCTACCTGGGAAGGCCACGCCATTTCATGTTGCCATTAAGAAAAACATCACGTATTAGCAGGATTTCATCAAATAAAATCATTACTTAGTATATGTGCCCTAAATTCAAATCGATTAATTTTCATTAAGATAGAGAATTTGGTGCCTTTTTTTTTAGCTGTTATAATGATAAAAATCCGAAAACAAGCCAGACATACTAATATTTGTTAATATCTTGCAACACAGGCAAAAGACACAATGCTTTATCCATCTAATTGAAACAGCCTTGGATAATGGCATTCTCTGCCCACCATGTCATACATGCTTAAGACAATGATCAATGTAGGATTACGAATAAAAAAGACCAGCCACAGAGATTACTTTAAATAAAAACGTTCCGATTCCTCCCTGATTTCCCCTCATTTAAACATCCAAACAAAACATGTGGTACCTTTTAATTTTCTGAATGAGTGGTTCCCAGTCAATGTTTCCTCGGTTAGAGACAACAAACTGAAGAATCTACCGAAACAAAACAAAAGGAAACAAAACCAAAACATACATATATAGATGTGTTCACTAAATATTGAAAGTTACCACTCACCAGTAACCATATGCATTCTTTATATCCAGACAATAAATCTATGTCTTGAGATCTGTAGTACAAACAATGCAGGGCTTGAATTTTTAGGAAGCTCAGGATTGAATTTTAAAGCATTTTACTTTGAGATCCCGTAAAGCAGATCCTTTAGAAAGAGGATTAAAAATAAAACAAAATAAAAATGTAAAAAAATAAAAAAGGTAACAAACCATTACCAGTGCTTGTGCGGCGGTACCACCCAAGTCTAGTCTTTGAGGATTGCTGTGGAATCGTTCTCCCGGAGCCTAATCTCCATGGGCTGGCTCTCGCTCTGCCTCTCTAGCTCCAGACACACTGCAGTCTGCAAGCCACCAGCTCCTGTCTGTGTGTGTCGGGGAAAGGGAAGCTGCAAATTAGAAAACGTCCCCGCAGTGGCGAAAAGGAAAATAAGGCGAGTGGGAGAGGGAGAGCGAGCTTACTAGCCTCAGAATTTTCGAGAATGATGACAAGCCACCCAGCTCCGCCATCATTCACTGACAATAAGGTGCAGCCCTGGTTTAGGATTTAGCAGTTTGCCGTAGGGGCTTCTGGTACCAAATGCCTGACAGGCATTTTAATTGTCTCCATCCAAGTGTGTCCCCAGGAGTCGGGTCTATAAGCCTATGAATGTCATCGTCTGGTCTCTTTTGTGTTAATGCCAGACACACACACACACACACACACACACACACACACACACACACACACACACACACACACACACACAGTGCTTAAGTAGCCGGTTTTCTGGTGTATAAGATTACAAATAAGTTAGGCTACACAAACTGGACGTGACTAAATGACGGCGTATGGGAATTTTCATTTTCTGCATTAATGACATCAGAGATTCTTTGATGTTTTGCCATTGGCAGATGATTACAACATTTGAAAACTTGAGTATCACATATTGCTTATGTATATTCTAAAATAAATAACTGCTCATTAGAAAAATGCATCTACTTATGCCTATTTTCTTATGGAAAAATCAATCCCATTGTAACTGTGATAATTACACACTTGGAAATGTCTGCCTTACAAGGGAGAATGCAGCAAAAAAAACAAAGAGGACTAGGAAATCAGGGTTGCTGTGTGTTTTCTGTGGGCAGTCTATTATATTCAGTTTATACACAAAAGTAAAAGGAGGTGGCGACCAGCTTCAATCCTGGGACTTTACAGTCCCTGAGGGCGAAGACAGGGAATTGAACCTCTGGCATAATCAGTATCCCCTTTATGTTAGCAACTGAAACAGTTGAATATTCCTGTTTTACACTGCCCCTTATGGAGGGAGGTTAAGCGTGGCATAATTCCCCGCATTTATTTCCTGGACAAAAGTGATGGGGAAAATGTTAATAAATTAATTTTTGCAGCATTGTTAGCTCCCTGCATCAGTGAATGAAGCAAATTCACTGTCTACCAAAAGGGCCGACTGTGAAAAAGGTTCCTGGGAGGGAGCATCACCATGGTTACCAGAAACAGAAAGTATGGAGAAAAATAAGCTGATAACAGTTAAGAGAGAAAGAGACTACAGTGGAGGAAATTTAGAGACAGACGATATGCTTCATTCTCTTCCTTCTGGAAAGAACTGTCTCTATCAGATTTATATACTCTATTTTGGATGCATGAGGATACATTTGCATTCTCCATTAGCCACCTTTCTTCTGCTCTTTCTGATGACTAGCTAATTTTGCTTTCATAAATGTTGAAGTTATTATTATTGTCTTTGTACAAGATGGAGCCTGCCACTCCTTGCCTCTGTCCATACCTTGGATTCATGGACACCACGCACCCTGGTCCTTACTCTTTGTTTCATAGGTGAGAAAGCTGAGGCCCAGGGACTCTGACTCAGGTCACAAAGCTGACTGGAGACCCAGCAGAGACACCATCCCAGGCTCCTGACTCAGGTCCCCTGCTTTTCTTCTTTTACCAAGTGACTTCCTTCCCATGCTCTCTCCCCTTCTGTTTGCAAGCAAAACAGTTTCTAGAAACATCCTTTGTCTTTGATTCTATT